TGATGGAACAGGGTCGGTCCCAAGCTCTCACTTCAGACACCTTGGGGGCCCTTGATTGGTATAGGTTGAAGAAAGCCTCGAGGATATTTCTTCAGAGAATTTATGGCATCGTGTAGAGGAGACCATGCTAAGCTTTGTGATACTCCCAAATCTATCTATACACCATACATTATAGTTTACACCATTATAATGTTCTTACTCTTTGTCCTCGACCGTCGATCTTAATTTCCGTGAAAATAAAAAAAATATACAAGCATTTAAAATTAAACAAAATATATTTCCGTAAAAGTTAAAGCAAGACAAACATTTAGAGACGCAAAGGTTGATCATCCAAGGATAAATCAAGCCTCCATATAGATATGATAGTAAAAGGAGAAAGCAGCAAACTGCACTATGCCTTAATCATAAAGGAAAAGGCTCATTTAAGATTGAAAAAGAAAGAAGACAAAGAAAGGACAGTGTACCTAAGAAGATAACCTTAATTTGTAACTCAAACAACTTTTTCTTTTATTAAAATATTTATTATAATCAAATAATTCAACTACTCTTTTGTTTTATTTTGATTAAGGATGACATATATTTGTTGGATTTGGTTTATCATGTAATTTTAGGGTTGTGTAAGAGTGTTAATTCCTTGTGACATGGACATATATAATAATAATTGAGGTAATTATTTAAAATAGAATTATTATTTTAATATTTAAAGGTATAACAACATGAGTATTTTTTAATTTAAATATAGAATCTATTGATGCTTCCAAACAATACCATTTTGACGTAAACGAAAAAAAAAAATCTTTCTTGTTCAATAGGATAATAACTAATATTAGAATAAATAATGTAAGTAGTTGTTTAAAATATTATTCTAATATTTACATATATATATATATCTATATATACACATACATGAATAATTTTAACTTTAAATTTAGAATTTATAGGACAATATTCAATAGGATAATAAATAATAATCAATACATTTAAAAAATGAAATTAGTCAATTTTCTAATTTCATAACCTAAAATCAAACAATTTTCTTTTTTTTTAAATTATTAATTAACCAAAAGAAAGAAAAAGAAAAACCGCATAGTTTGGGCTTTGAAGCATGGTGGGCTTTTGTTTCTTTCCCCTTATTTCTTTTTCGATATTTGGGCTCGAGTCGGATTATATCCGGCCCAAAATAGAGATGGGCTTAGTGACTACGAAATGTCAAAAAAACCCTTACCGAAACCAATTATTTCCTACCCTCGCTTTTTTGAAGCTCAACTGAAAAACCGACTGCAACTCGAAGGCCTCTCTCTCTCCAACAGCATAGCAGGGAAAGGTTCTCGAAGAAAAGTTCGTCATCAATGGCAAAGGAGCAATCAATATCCGTATCGGAAGCCGTACACAAGATTCAACTCCGCCTCCTCGACGGAATTCGTGACGAGAAACTGCTACTGGCCTCCGGTTCCTTGATTTCTCGAAGCGACTACAAGGATGTCGTGACCGAAAGGACCATTTCCAATACCTGCGGTTACCCTCTGTGCGCCAACCCCTTACCTTCAGAACCCCGTCGAAAAGGCCGCTATCGAATCTCTTTAAAAGAACACAATGTTTATGATTTGCAAGAAACTTACATGTTTTGCTCCACCGATTGCCTAATTAATAGCCGAGCGTTTGCTGGGAGTTTACAAGAAGAGAGGTGTTCGGTTTTGAATCATGCGAAACTGAATGACATTTTGAGTTTGTTTGGGGACTTGGATTTGGACGATAATGATTTGGGGAAGAATGGGGATTTAGGGTTTTCGAGTTTGAGGATTAAAGAGAATGAGGAAGTAAAAGCTGGGGATGTTTCGTTGGCTGGTCCTTCCAATGCTATTGAAGGCTATGTTCCACAAAGAGAATTGATTTCCAAGTCTATACCTCCTAAAAATAGCAAAAACACAGGTGACAATTTTTGTTTTTCCAATTATTCAAGTCATTATTTATAGAAAATAATTAATTTATTTAGTTTAACAATGGTTAAACTTTTTTTATTGCAGTGTTTGATTCTAGTAGTTCCAAGCTGGGTAGTAAGAAAGAAGAATATTTTGTTAATAATGAGTTGGTCTTTACTAGTACTATAATTATGAATGATGAATATACCATTTCGAAGAATCCAGGTAGTTTTAAACAGAGTGAAAGAACGAAGCCTAGTAGGAAGAAAGAAGATTTTGTCATTAATGAGATGGACTTTACTAGTGAAATAATCATGAATGATGAATATACCATTTCGAAGATGCCCTCAGGGTTAAGACAGAGTTGTTTTGATTCAAATTTGAAAGAAGTGGAAGGAAAAGGAATTTGTAAAGACTTTGAGGACAAATGTGTAATATCAGGATCATCCTCTGCTTTGAGGGAAAAGGATTCTAGCATTGTAGAATTGCCTTCAACTAAAAATGTCTACCAGACTGGTTTGGATACAAGTAGTGCTGAAGCAGAGAAGGAAACCCATGCTGACAAGGCGGTGGCATCAAGTGAAACATTGATTAAATCCTCCCTTAAATCTGCCGGAGCCAAGAACCATAATCGCTCTGTTACTTGGGCCGATAAGAAGAAAGTTGACAATGCTGGGAATGGCAATCTTTGTGAAGTTAAAGACATGGAAACTATGAAAGGAGATTCTGAAATATGTGGCAGTGCAGAAGATGGTGGTGATGATAATATGTTACGATTTGTATCAGCAGAAGCTTGTGCTATGGCGTTGAGCAAGGCAGCAGAAGCTGTGGCATCTGGAGATTCTGATGTCACTGATGCTGGTAGGTTTCTTCGTGCATTCAGTGAATTATATGTGGATTCATACTTTTAATGGTGTATTCAAACTTTCTGAGTTTGTCCATAACTCTATTTTGTCACAAAAAAATGTACAGGTTATGAAAATGGGCTTATCATATTGCCATCTCCATGTGAGGCAGACAAGGAGGAGCCTATGGAGGATGGTGATATGCTTGAACCAGAAACAGCCCCTGTAAAGTGGCCCAAAAAACCTGGGATTCCGCATTCTGATATGTTGAACCCAGAGGACTCATGGTTTGATGCTCCTCCGGAGGGTTTCAGTTTGACTGTAAGTGTCATAGACCTAAAAACATTACCATATTATTTCTCAAGTTTTGAAAGGGTTAACAATATTGCTGTATTATTACTGCAGTTTCTTTAGATGTTGATTACTTCTACTTTTTTTTATGTCCTTCAGCTATCAACTTTTGCAACAATGTGGAATGCACTTTTTGAATGGACAACATCATCTTCTTTGGCTTATATATATGGGAGAGAAGAAAGTTTCCATGAAGAATACCTATCAGTTAATGGGAGGGAGTATCCACAGAAGATTGTCATACGAGATGGTCGTTCTTCTGAAATTAAAGAAACTCTTGCTGGCTGTATTTCTCGTGCTTTACCTGCTATTGTTACTGATCTCAGATTGCCAATACCAATATCCACTTTGGAGCAAGGAATGGTACTGGTTCTGAATCCATAATTGTGAAATGGTTAATCATATTGAGAAAATTCATGATTAGTCTAATTAGGGCCTTGAGGACATTGAAATGTTTTATTTAGGAGTTTTATTGTATTTATAAGATCATATTTCTAAGCATAACTTACTACTTCTGCTTATTGGTGAAAGATCTTTTTACCAAAAGATTCCTTGCACTTCCCTTAATCTTGAGTTGAGTTGCTTCTGTATGTACTCTAAATGTTCTTTTATACAGGGGCATCTAATAGATACAATGTCTTTTGTGGAAGCACTTCCAGCATTCAGAATGAAACAGTGGCAAGTAATTGTTCTTCTGTTTATTGATGCTCTTTCTGTATGTAGAATACCTGCCCTCACTCCGCATATGACTAATGGGAGGATGCTCCTTCACAAGGTGAGGCTCTGAGATTGTAAATATAGCTAATCGTTATTATTCAATGTACAACTGTAAGTGGAATTCTTGAAAAGTTCACCCTTGTGTATCAGCTAGCGTTTGATAACATGATATTTCTGATTACTGCTTAGGTGTTTGACACTTGAAAAGCAAAAATACTTCCATTTACCATTAAACTTCAAATAATGGATTCTTCTTTTGATTTGCAAGCTTTTGAGCTGTGGTAATCTGTTTTAAGGCTGATTAGCATCTTCAGCTTGTCTGGTCTGCTTGTGAATCTATCAACTAGAAGTATTTGAGAAACACTCTTTTTGACTTTATATCTTGCTAGAAAATGATCTTTAACTTATTTTGCTTCCTCTCATAGGAACCATGAACTCTCTGATTGCTTGTCTTTTGATGCATTAGTTCAATAGATTTAACAAACTGCTGTTGTTGCATGAGATCACTGATTCCATACTTTGTTTAGCATATTAAAAATTTTGAGGCTGATATATGGATTCAATTGTATTTTCTTTTCCCCAACTAGAAATAGCTTTTAGATTTGATTCCCCGAAATTGTTGGTAAAATTTTCATCTTTTGTGATGTTCAATACTCTCTGTTGGTTGCTTAGGTGCTGGATGGTGCCCAGATAAGTATGGAAGAGTATGAGGTTATGAAGGATCTCATAATACCACTTGGCCGAGCACCTCATTTCTCTGCACAGAGTGGGGCTTGACATTAGATCCAAGTCATTCTTCCAACTGTTGCTGATAATATTTGGATACTGTACATTGGTCCCTTATTTTCTTCTCCTGGAAGTTTTACAAGGTGCACTCTTGGACATCCAACAACTGTAATTAATGTTTAGGGTTTAGTCATATATAAATATCCATGTTATTGCAGTTTTGAAAGAGGCTTGCATTATGAGATATCAAGATACTTTTGGGGATTGATGAATTGGATATCTTAGATATTTGAGGATTTTGTTGAGAAATCATCAGATCATTCCTTGAGTATGTTGGTTGGAGACTAGTTGTTTGTTTTACACTACGGTTGCTTTGATTAAATTAATTTCTTTTGCGCTTAGATGACTCACACCAGTATCAAAGTTGTAGGTCTTTTCATGGATAACATTCCATTCCATTTCATACTTAATTCATTACAAGATGACAATCTTACAATCATTGTTCTTCTGTGTATTCTTCCTTTCTTTGGTAACTTCTGTCATTTCACATGCTGTTTATGGGTAAAGTGAAAAAGTCTAATGGATAATAGCCTGGCAAAAGGAATAGAAAAATACAATGGATAATAAATAGTTGTCATTTCACATGCTGTTTTTCTTTTAGGAAATGAACCAAAATCCTGGGAGAGGGAGAAGATGCCTTAGTGCTAGTGAATGTGATGTTTCCCATGATAAGATTGTGTGGCAAATTGGAAAAAGAACATCTAGATGATCTGATCTCTTCCACTCTAATTTTATGCTATCTGAATATGATAACCATGTGGTTGCGTATCCATTTTGTCTTTTGTTTTGTTGCCTAAGAAATGATGTCTCTTAGCACCATTCATTTTTTCCGCCAATCCATCAAAGATTAAGATTATGTGTATGTATTATTATGGTTTCCTGTGTGGTATACTACTAAAGCCTGATATTTTCTTCTTTACTTCCTTTTCCATGGATTCATGCTTTGGCATCTTGGCTGGCTAGGTTAGTAAAAGTTACATGTGATTTCTAAACTCTCTTTGTTGCACTAGATTAGGATTTAGGACACATTCTACAATACATAAATTAGGCTGCAGGCCCTTAGGTTATCTATCATATTCAAGGACACTTGGCTAGTAAAGACTGGACAAGAATTATCGATTATGATTAAGGAAGAAATCTTTTATGAACATCCTAAGAACGAAAAGCTTACAGAGAACAGATACTTGACGTATGTTTCTCTGGCTTAAAGGATTGAGTTTAAAAAGAAAAAGCAAGAGCACTAATTAAGGTTTAGTTTACGAATAAGTTTGATCCAATCCCAAGCTGGAAGAAGAACAAATGGAAGTAAGCAGTTGCAGCCCCCTCCAGGCCAATGAGAAACTTCCAAAGAAGCAAATTCCCTTTCCAAAAACATAATGACCCCGCTCTTTTTGATGGATTGGACCCCATCCCAAATGCTCCTCCAAAGTACCCATCAAAGAAAAGCATGCAGACAACATAATTCATGCAAAGAAAAACAGGAAGAAGACAATCTGTTCACTTCTTTTGTGGAGGGTTAAATCATGAGTTGAAGGGACCCATTAATTCTTTTTTGCTTTCTCTTTCTTTCTTTTAGGCTAAGATCTCACTGCCCATTTGGGTGGGTAGCGGGTGGAGGGGGGGAAGGAGGAGGGAGGAGCCCCTTCCTTTGTGATTTTACTGGGTGTTTTTGAGTGAGCTTTTTCACACGTGTACACTTTTGCATTTGTGGGGAGGGGGGTTTGATGATTATAATAATTAATGAAGAAAAAGAGGAAGAAAAGTTGTTGGAAGTGCACATGATTAGCTTAATTAAAGAAAGAATTAAAGAGGATGGTAGTGACAGTTTGGGTTTTCTGAAATGAATATTTGATCAAAGTGTGAATGTGGATTTGTTATTGGGGTTTCTGTTTGATGTGTGTTTTTGTGCACTAATCACATATATATGATTATTATCAAGATTTTAACAAAATCCCAAGCAAGTGCGTACATATATATAGTTCTAAATTGTCTTTTATATTTTTTATATGAAAAACTGCATTCTGAGATATCTCGAAAAGAAAAAACTTCATTCCGATGAATAAAATTTTGGTGCTTTGATTTAATTTTTTTAACAATCTATGATTGAAACTAGTTTTAAGAGATTCCAAATATCAATCAGGCTAAGTATTGTATTCAAAGTCTTCCACCCTACCTAGAATGGAGAGTCCTAGCAATGGAAGAGGTTTGGCAGAGATAGTACGTTTTTAACCTTTAACTCAATTCACATCCTTTTAGAGCAGTGGTTGCCTAATGCATCTGGAGGATAGGTCTTTATATGGTTATATAGTTAGATAATATTTGTATGAAAATGTAAAAGGGGAAGAAGGAGATAGGAAGAGAGCTAGGGTGCAAAAAATATCACATGCCATATAGGGTCCTAAGCCTAGTGAAAAAGGGCATGAAGCCCCATGCCATTTGGAGTTTTCTGTTTTTTTTT